TATATATATATAAATGCTTTCTATATATTTCGACTATAATTTTACTTTTTTTTTTAATTAATAATTTTGCAGTTATCTAGTGTTACACAACGATGTGTTTAGTACCTGCAATGTATAATTAGCATGTATGTTCGATTATATGAGTCGCGATCCGATGTATATCGTAGTATTCATCAAGAAATATATTATAAAGGAAAATATAATTCTCATCTACATCTCTTTAATATATCAGCTTATCACAATCTCCTCGACTTTCCTACATATATAAGTTCCGTTTTTAAATTACTCAACAATTTTCCAGAGATAGCTTACAATGTAATGTAAGAAATTCCCTTCGCGGAGAAGCACAATAAGAATTGTCTTTATTAAAAATTACGGTAGCATATTTCGGCCATATACTATCCCAATGTATTTTTGTATTTCTTATATCGTAGAATAAATCTATAGATTGCAATTAATTTATTTATATCTTTATCCTGATACTTCCCATGCAGTATTTGCATATTTAATAACGATCAAATGCACAATCTTCTTTCAGTAATTATCACATGTGCCGTCATCGAGGTCGACAGTGTTTTATGACGCATTAGGGTAATAAAAGCGAGTCCTGTGGGGTCTTTCGTACAACAAATTACTCATTGCTTCGCGGTCAGTTGACTCTCTTGTAGATATATAATAGGTCGCTTCAAAGTCCGCGACTCGTTTGCTCACGTTCGCTCGTTTAGCACACCTGCATCCTTTGTGATAATACTTTACGAGTTTTTATGTGCTCTTCAGTTTTTTTTTTTTTTGCTTAACGAAGGTAGATCATTAACTTACAAATTATGGAAAATCGAAGAAGAAAGTGCAGTGAAAAAGTGACCGTCACAATACTGTCTTGACTTGACATATTGACTATTTGTGTAGGTCAACTTATATTAGTCAAGTATAACACGCTGCACAATGATCATATAAGTGGGGGAATAGATTAATCTTATAGTATAAATATAAAGAAAAGAAAAGAAATAAAAATATACTATGTATGTATATACTAAAATGTGGGAAATAAACAAATTATTGGTCAAATATCGTAAAATGATCAGTTTTATGAAGAAAGAAATTTTTTCTTCAAAATTAAATTAATCATTTTGTCTAAGTTTGCAAAACGCTCGTTTTGTAATTAGATATTGATAAATCTGATTTTGAATATGTCAGATACTTGATCAGTTGAAAATTAAAGACAAGAACATTTCAACAGAATAACCAAACATTTGATCGAATAACGTCCTACAGGGAAGAAAGGAATTATGAAGCTATTTGCGCGTCCAAAATGCTTTACCGAGGCGATAGCACCAGTGATAACTCTGAACCGTTTAATGGGACTTCGTGTTTTTGAGTATTCTCGCGGTCAGTCAAGACCTATATTCAGCTTAATCTATCTTTTGTTTCTTTATTGTTTGTACTATATTGGCTCCTTGCATTGGGTGGAAGAATATTATATGGATGTTAGATTATTGAAGTTGGAATATTTCCTGTACAAAATATTGGACAACATTATTATGTATTTGGTCCTCGTTAAACTGTTGCTAGGCTGGTGGTATACGAAGGTAAGCGAGTGTGAAATTAGTATATAATATTCTGTAAATTAAATGAGATAAAAGAAATATTAACTCGAGCGAGTGTATCATCCGACAAATTATGTGTATTTAAAAAAAAAAAAAAATTGCACATTTGTGTCATATAAATTAACATTTGTGCAGAGGTTCGACGCTTGCTATAAACATATCTTCGAGATTGACGAAACATTGCGACAGCTTGGAACGATGGTAAACTACGATAGAATATATTTTATAACGATCGGAATAATGATCACCTGGTTTACATTCAACTTCTGTATCTGCATTGTGGTCTTCATTGTAATGCGAATACATACAGATATATATGTTACAATCGGCACTATAGTGGTATATTCGTATGCACTGGCTGTCAATTCCATTAACATTTTCGATTTCTACATATTTGTAAAGTATGTAAACTGGCTTTATAAACAACTTAGAAGTTTATTTTAATCAAATATGTATTCTCTTTTTAATTAGTACGTGAGAAATTGGTATCATAATTATTTAAAGATAATAATATATATTAAAATTAAAAAAAAAAAAATGTTTAACACATATTGTTACGCAGATATTTACAAATGAGGTTTGACTTGATCAACCAACTCTTACGTGAACATTCAATGTTATCGACAAAAAAGATAAAATTGGGCTTTTTTGAAATGCAAGATTATACTAAAATCATTGATGTTGAGCAACGATGTTCGCTTCCCATGAAAATGTTATCTCAATGGTGTCGACAGATGCAATCTAGAAAAAATATTTCTCTATCAAAAAAACAAAAATTGGTCAAATCGCGGATTCAATCGGACTTTCCATCTCACTTGCAAAAACAATTCCAAGGAAAACTTCGAAATCGATCTCAAAAACAGAATTCCGTAATAACGGAATGTCAGAAGCGTAAATATCTGTTACAAATAATCAAGTAAGTATAGAAATTATAAAGTGAATTGTTGTAAAATAATTTCTATGAAAAATAGCAGTTAAAATCAGTCAATCGATCAAATTCATCAATAAATTCTTAAAATACTTGAGATTAAGATCTATAATTTTTGTCTATCGAACACTTTAAATATGTAAATCAAATTCTTTGTGTAAAACAAAACTTTAAGAAAGAGAGACTTATAAAAAGTTTTTTACAAATAAAAATATTTTTTACATAACTGTTAAAAAGTTGTTTTTTAGACAGGTGCACCTACAATTGTGTAAAGTATCAAAAACAGTATGTACTATCCTCGGTGTACAGACAGCTCTCGAGATAGGAATAATTATTATGTTTCTCACTGGATCTCTCTACAATTTGTACATTCGATATATTGCGCGACAACACAAGATCACAGACAGTGTGTTGCAGCAAACAGCTGTGACGATCATACTGAGTAGCTTTCATTTACTGAAAATTACGTTTTTAAGTCGCATTTGCAAACAAGCGGCCGATAAGGTGATTTATTTTGCATTTTATTATTTTATTTAAAATTTAATTAGTAATTAATATTTATATTTGTATAGGGAAATAAAACTATCGAGATAATTTACTCGATTTATGGATGCGATACAGAATCTGGTGTGCAAGAGGAGGTCCGCATATTTTTGAAATATATGTATAACTTTCGTCTTTGATTATTACATAACTATTATAATTAATTACTATATTAATTATGTCATTAATTATTACCCACAATTGTTTTAGATTCAGCAATTTGGAATTCAAATATTACAAAGTCCGGTGAGATTTACCGCGTATGGTATTTCTTTGGATAACCATGTTCTAACTATGGTTTGTATATAAATTAATTTTGTTTTATAAACTAATTCTGTGTCAATAATTTTTGGATGATTCTCTAAAAACAAAATATATATATATATTTAAAAAAATTTGATAACGTTTTTCACATTTTTATATAAATCTTAATATAAAATATACATATTTAATATATATTATATTTAAGAGGAATTATAGATATATTAATATAAAAAATTATATGTTAAAATTATTATTTTAGATTATGACTTATTTATGACTTAATATGTCTTATTATACTTTATTATACTTTAAATTATGAAAGAATTAATGTATATCAAATGTCGTAAATATAAAAGCTACGTAAATAAAACAATGTAAAATTCTTTTATTTAAAATATTTAATAGAGTCTCTTTTATCTTTAATAGACTCTGTAAGATATTTAATATTCTTTTACCTTCTAACAATGAACTTTAGAATATTAGACTTTTTGCACAAAACTAAATACATTCTACTTAATTGAACAGATAGTATCGCACCCACATCTCTTCTTATTTCATGAATATAACAATAATAAAATAGAAAATACTTTTGCATGTCATATTTTTTTTCTAGAGATTTAATATTCTCGACTTGAAAATCGTTAATTGTTCGTTGCAATCATGATAAAAACTATTGGACATAGAAATATTACACGATCGTATAAACATATATTCGAAATGTGTGTGTCAGGTCATTTTGTTATATGTTCTTCATTCTATCTTCATTTTTGCTATTCATTTCCTTTTATTACTACAACGTTAGTGGTCTTATCAAGATCCATATCAAAGTATATGACCTTTCGAACTTGAAACTTTTTACAATATCCACGATAATTATATGCAGAATTATTAAATTATATATATTTCTAATAAAATAGTTATCTGCGATAATACATTGACATGAAATATTTATTTTCTTTAAATTACTAAAATAATTTGGAAATATAAAAAAAGAGATTATTAACATTCTATTGTATGTTATAAGCTCCTATTTTACAATTACGTTAGTATATAATATTGGCATTTTTTACTCTCCCAGTGTCGTTAATAAAATAGCTCTTAGCTTGATACTTCGCACGGTATCGATCTCCCCGGTAAAGTCTCGTGGGTATTCATCCATTACAAGATCATCCGATATATCCGTCGCTTATTTCACGCGTCTTGTCATTATCTAAATTTGTCATTATTTATTTTGTAATTTTATCAATAATTGTTATTGTCATATTATTTAGTATCTTACAAATTAACATCATTAAATTGGATTGATACACTTTGCGTTCTCATATTTCTTACAAAAATAATTTAAAACGCAATGTGTGCATGTGTGTGAGACAGTACGTGTATAAAATATATAAACAACTTAGAATAAATTAATATTTTAATTTTTAATACAAAATTTCAGTTTTTTATTTTTTAACGTTTCTGATTAAAATTATCATAAACAATATATAAGGATAAAACTAAGAAAATGTGTAGAAATAAATTTAACAATTATGTCGAGCTAATCTTTCCTTGATGATTGAAAATAATCATTTCCTGTGAAACGTATATGTGTGAATTTCTATCAAAATTCCTCTTTAATTTATTTATTTTCCACAGTAATTAACATCTACTCGTTTTGGAAAAACGGAAAAATTCAAAAATTCCGGAAAACAGCATGTTTATTTACAGGAATAGCGAAGGCTATTCACGCGCTCGCGAGTCAATATCGACCATGAAATGGACGAATCCTTCGGGACGTAGACATAGACATCACGAGACATTGCAAATATCCTTTACTTGGGTCGCGCCGTCGCCACTTGTTCGACCACCGACCACCCTCGGTCGTATTACCATCGACCACTTATTAAGGTGGCATTTAGCATTACGCTGTCCGTGTTAGAGCACGCGAAGCGACACGTAGCCACCCTCGATATTCATCGTTCATTTCTCAGCTACGAGATATCCGCGTGCGTGCGCGTCCACGCGCGTGTGTATGTGTGTGTGCACGTTCACAGTCGACAAAAAGTGCTATTTGTTCAGATCGACGAATGTTACAATCATCGAAGATGTTCCATCCGAAGACCTTACACGAGATGATCATGCCGCTGCTCGTGGCGAACTTTGTCCTGGGGATAGGAATTTGGACCACCAAGCGTGGAAGGATCCTGAACATCGCGTACTCGTTCGTCTGTCTGGTGATCTATTGCGTTCTGATGAAGTTTTCGATGGAATATATGTATCTCTACTTTGCACACAAGGCAAATGACTTCGGCGTTGTGATATTCCGAGCGATCTTCTACGCGAATATATGTTTCACGTTGTTTCTCGTCCCTAGCGGTTGGTTGAGGAGAAAGGTAATTTTAAAAGATGATGATAAAGCGAAAGTAAAATCGTAAACGAGAATTTTAAAATCTAACACGATTAACTTTAATATATATTATAAACTTTTTAAATCTAAAACATACTTTTCTTTTTATTCAATTCTAAAAATTCGAAATAAGCTATTAAATTTACTAGACTGTCTCGTGTTTCGAATTTTTTTGTTTTTAAATAGAAATAATCAACTGGTATCTTGCTTTTTTTATTTTCATAGCGCATGAAGGAAGCAATGATGCGTATCACGATGTGTGAGAAAACAATGGAGCTAATGGGATTACCGAAGAACTATCGAAAATTATACTTGAATCAACTTTACGCGCTCGGATTCATTGTATTGATATTTATCGTATCCGTTATAATCAATTACAATGGAATGTTCGTAGAAAATACACCCTTGCATAGCAAAATCGTTCTTATACTCGCCGTAAACTACCCTGTCGCCTTACTCTATGTAACCGACGTGTCCTTTTTGCACTGGGTCAGGTACGATAATTTGCTTTGAATACTTAAACGATATAATGAAGAGCTTTGTTAATTAATTAATTGTGTATCGTATCAGATCGATTCTCCTATACATTTGAATATAAAAATAATTTAATACAAAGAGAATATAAATATAAAAATTTTTCCAATAATTTTAAACTGATTATTTATGCAAATGTATCATAATTATGATGCTCTAAAAATCGCAAAGTTACTATAATTTATGACATTTTCCAATAAAATTTCTCATATTTCGCTCTTGCCGCATTTATGCCAAAGAAAAATTAATTAAAGGTACGCGAAGATGCGATTCGAGCAGCTAAACAGTTTGCTGCAACGCATGTTAACCACTACCCCCGATTCGCCGCAGCATAAAAGAGTACTGAAAATGAAGGATGAGTGGAACAAAACCTTCACATCCCCGACGCAACAGGATCGTAGATCCGAGGAAAACACCGAAACGATGAGGGCTTGCAAGTGAGACCTGCACGTTTGAATAAAGGCTTTTACACGGTTTTTGCACACTTAAAAATACGCATGGCATGTGTGTATGTACAAACAAAATCATTACCACGTATCCTGAATAAATTCTTGTTAATTTTATAATCGCATACAGCACCTTTGTTTTTCGTTTTAACATTATGATTTTATAATGCAATGATGTATTTTTTCGAAATGATTTGGTTGGCATTAATTAACAGTTTCTCTTTGTATTGAACAAAGGCAGGTTCATCTGGAATTAATTAAGGCAACCAGGAGCACGAACGAAGCGTACGGCATACAGATTCTCTGTTCTATGACGATATCATTTGTGTTTATCACTAGTCTTCTATACTACGCTTATTCGATTTTTTGGCTGCCCCTCAGCAAAGAGGTATTCCGACAGGAGATGATAGAAGTCGTTAGCTGGATTCTATTCTATGCGTCCAAGGTCCTCATAATAAATCATATGTGCGCTTTGGCAAGCATTGAGGCAAGCAATATTTTAAAATAGTAACATATTTTCAACCTATTTTTTATAATTAGAAAAATATTGATTGTCTTAAAATTCTTTAAGTGTTAAAAAAAAAAAGAAATAGATTATGTCGTTGTATATGAAATATTACAATTGTAATGTTTAAATACGTTCGTCATAATTTCCACAGGCCGCGAATACAGGTGACATAATCTGCGAACTGTACGAGCCATCCACCAGCAAAGAATTTCGCGCGGAGGCAAGCTCCTTATCGTCTTATCAAATTAATTAATCAAATATAACACAAGAAGATAAAAGGTGAATTAATATTTAAGTGATTTTCTTTAGATACGGGACTTCACTTTGCAACTGATACAAAATCCCTTGATTTTTACGGCGTGTGGATTTTTCAATCTGGATCATACATTTATTCATGGGGTGAGTTATGTAAATTTTATCTAAATCTAATATTTAAAATATTCGAATATAAAATGATAGCTTTAAAGATTTATTATACATATAAAATATTAGATCCCTACGCAATCGCGTGAACTGTCATTGTTTGTTAGTTGGTCTACTTTACTTTAATTTCTATCCTAATAACATCTTTTTCTTTAAGTTAGTTTGAGTTTTTATCTACTTTATCATTCTGTACTTTAGTCTGAACCTTATAATTTCTATACCTGTAATTTAAGATAATTAACTATGATAAGTTATAAAATCTCGTATACATATGTAACGTGATAATGTTAAAACGGTGTGTGTAAAACAGATTAAAATATAATCTAATTCAGAAATCTCTTTATATTTAAGAGAGAGAGATAAAAATGACAATCTTTAAATAAAAAATTAAAATAAAAGTTATCAAATTTTCTATTTTTTCTCAGGTCATTGGTTCAGTCACCACGTATCTCGTAATTCTCATCCAAGTTGGAGATCTACCACAGTCAAATTCTACAAAAAATTCCTCCATACTAAACAATGGAACAAGTTTAACTACATTTAGTAGTCTTACAACTTATGTTTATGACCAAATATAAATTTTACGCATTACATTTTTTACTAATCCGGAAAGATTTTAAAAGTCAAAAATTCGTGTGTGATTGTTTTAAAATATGTATATTTTATGCGCATTTGTAATGCAAAAAGGAAAAGAAGCGTTTGCTGTTATATGTTGAATCTCTCTTTCATGAAAAAATATATATTACAAAAATTGAAATATTTAATAAAATGTATCATATATCTTTTTATAAATATATGTGTGTGATTATTTTTGTTTTTTCGATTTTCTATCGGTTTTTATAAGCAGAGTAATTGCAAAAGATTTGTAGAGCGTTATAAAATTAATTTTATAATACGTGCATTATAATTCTCTTATTTAAAAAAAAAAGTCTATATTCTTATTTTGACGATATCAAAGACACAAAAAGAAATGATATTGCAAAGTGTTTAATTGTCTGATCGGTTAACGAGAATCCGATGACCGAATTCACCCCGACGATTTTCCGCCAATTAGAACGCCGACGGGGATATTGTGTCAATTACACTACCCCAAGTGCACTTACCCTGCTCGACTACTATCCAGATGGAGGCGTTAGTCCGTGAAATTCGGTCTTCCCGTAATTTAATAGCGCCTAACTTGATCGAAGCAGCTTCCTATTCCCAATCAATTACACGTGTGATGAGTTACGTGAAACCTTCGCGCGATTCTCGAATTCTCTTCCCGATTTCTCTTTTCTCTCTCTATAAATTTTTTAGCCAATGATATGACTTTTATATAACATTAATATATTTTTTTCTTTATATAATTTATATTTTATATAATATTTAATATACTTAAGCAATGCACACGCGCGCGTGTGATAAGATTTGATATTTTTTCAATACATGCGCAAATTTCATGTTTCTTTTATTTACTTTCTTTTTGTTTTTTCGTCGAGCTTATGTTGTGAAAAATTACTGTACACGCGATCTTATTTTTGTATAAAACAAAAAGAATTGAGATATTATTATAGGATTCTTCGCAAAATGCGATCGCGCATATTCTAATGAAACTCACGGTGTTTCATTCGATATATATCATTTATAAGAAAACATATTCGAACGTATGGATCTCGTGAACAAGGGGGATGTACAGAGGCCGTTTACATCGAGGATAACATTAATTGGGAATTAAGGGCGCGAACGTAGGTAGCCGTCACGAGCCACCTGCTACTACGGTACTCTCGTCTCGGGCTAAAGGGATTGATTTATTGTGCCCAGGGGAGAAAGAGGGTTTGAGTGCGGACCGGTTCGAATGGATGCCAACCAATGTGTCCCATTGTCCCCTCCCGTTAAATAAAATTCTTAAGAGACATCGCGAATACATTATCGATGATACGATATTGTTATTACAAAACTATCCTTTTCCTCGAGTGATCGAATCTTTGTTTAAAATTACACGCGGCTACATTTTTTTCAATTTAATAACCGGTTTTAACTTATTCTTTAGCATTACATAAGAAGATCGACGTAAAATATTGTATAATGAAAAAAAATATCTATGTATTTGAATGTAAATATTTTAAGCCTGCAAATTTGGTAATTTTTTACATCTTAGCACCAAATGACATATGATTAATGTTCTGGTATTAGAATTAAGAAAGTTATAAAAAATGGAGTTGATAACTTAAGCGCGAATATTTCTGAGAGGTTTATATATATATCACTTCAAAAATTAAGACTTTTAAAAAATAAAAACAATTGCGGTGTATAATTAAAATATTTTAAATTATAATTATCTCTTTATAATCAGTCGGAAAAAAAAGATACGAACACTCGGTAAGTGAAATCTGTACATCGTGCCGGATCAATGGGGTGCATTTTTCTCCCGACCGAAGCATACGGGCTGGATTAGAGATGGAAATTGAGGAAAGGCAAACACAAACAGCAGTCTACAATCCTAATAATCCGCAAATGTCGTTTATCATCTGAGAGCGGATCCGCCTTAACCCCAGAGACCACTCCTACTCGCAGGGTGCGCGCAGTCGCCGACCGTTGTCCCCTTTCTATTCTTGTATCTGTATGTGTATGTCTTTGTTTTCATCAAACTACTTACATATACAATCATATCCATCCAGCTTTTGCTGTAACTTTACAATGTAATCAGAAATATACAAAGAAATAAAATTAAAAATACTAGAGTAGAAAAATATTATATACTCTATTATATATATATATAAAATTTACGTTCACAATTTTTTATTGCCGTATTTCAGCTTATTTTTAAATTTCTTAGCGTTTATTCCGTATGCCTTTAGTCTTTCTGCTCCCAAGGACATCATTGGATCATCGTTATTTGGTTTGCGTTTACCGGTCTTCGTTTTATTCAATTGAGAATTCTTATTCTTGTTTTTCTTTCGAGCGATTGTGGATTTCTCGGTAGAGAGGGGTGTTATCTTTCCATTGTTTTCTACCTTAATGCTAACGTTATCCGTTTCTATTCGAGAATCTTCTCTTCCCGCTTTATCTGTCTTCATTTTCTTAGGATTAGGACTGTTATCGTCTCTTAATTTGTTTTCTCGTTTTCGCTTCTCATTCTTATTCGCTACATTTTTATCTTGCGCATTTCTTTCATCATTTTTATTACCATGAGAAATATTCTGCGCGTTGTTTTCTGCAATGTTCATTATTTTTTTCTTAGAAACAGTATCAGTATTAATAACTTTCACATTAGGACCATTAATCTTAATTTTCTTCTTTTGCCTGCGTTTCTTACTGCTAGTATTAGTTTGCTCGATGACAGCTTCATCTTTTCCTTCTGCTTTTTCTTCCGGATTGCTATACAAAAATGTATGATTAGTATATGATCTAGTAAATATAATACATTTTTAATCGTATAACACTTACATATACAAACTTTTAAGAACTTTCTGTTTATTTGCTTCATTTGCAGCCTTCTGTTTATACATTCGAACATCATTCTCTTCCACATGCTCTGATTTATATCTAAGAGCTTTTCTTAAAGGGCACCATTTGTTTAACTCTTTATCATCAGCCATTAAAATCTTGAAAAACAAAATATACATTAAATTACAAAAATTATTATCATTACAACTAATTTTCTTGATTTTATAGAGCTTATTATTCTAATAAAATTTTATATAAATACTTACTTCTTCAACACTTAATCCATAATTGTTTGGTACAACTTTTCTATATTTAAATCTACAAGGCAAATCCCCAATCATATCCTCATAATCCAATGAATAATATTGATCAAAATATTCTTTGTAAGAAGAATATTGTTTTGGATCAAATTTTGGTTTCTTTTTTGCAATAAGTTCAGCGAATTTAGAGCGCCTTCTTCGTTTTCTTTTTTTCGTATTCTCAATGAGTTCGGACTGCAAATCTCGAGATTCATCGTAATCAGCATCCATCTGTAATCAGTAAAGTCCCTGTATAAAATATATCAATGAAATATATCGGCGAAATATATGTAGGTAAAAATTATAGTAAGCACATTAAAATCTGGATCTTCACAATGAGGTTTTTCATTCGACATAGCTTTCATGTCAATTTCATCTGTTGTCGGGTCATATTTGTCCCATGTAGGCTCAATATCTAATTCATCATCAATCTCAGGAAATTCTGGCTTCTGATTTTCGTCTTCACCACCAGCATAATATTCGTCGTTGAAAAGTTCTTTCATCTTTTTATCGTGTTCATTTGGATCAAAATCAGCATCAAAATCAACATTTTCGAAATGCATATCATTATTTCCTATAATTGGTATGGATATATTAGATAAAAAAATAGTTCAACAATTTCATATAAGTTTTACAAGTGTTTGGGGGTTGGAAAATCTCATCTTACCTGTAATTTCTTTTAATTTTTCTATCTTTTCTTCTATTTCTTTTCTTTTCAATGCTTTCAATTGCTTTAGTTCCTCCTTTTTTCGTTGTTTTTCTTCCTCTTTTCTTTGTTTAACTTCTGCTCTTTTCTGTGCTCTGCGCGTATCTTTCTTTCGCATTGAATTTTCCATTGTTCGTGGATACCTTAATAAAATGTAAATTTCATAAATAAACAGAAATTATGTAATGCATTTGTGTATAAATGTGTAATAAACACATGTAAACATGTAAACATATAATTATATGTTAACATGTAATGATATAATAATAAAACATACTTTTTGATAAATTCTTGATCAGGTTCTTCAAATCTAAAATTGTATTTACGTTCAAATTCCTCTTGCTTCTGGATAGTTTTTTCATCTTCTGATAAATTTTCATCGCTATCATGAATCATCTCATTATATTCTAAGTCTGTATTATAAGACTCATTTTTCATATACTTATTGTTTAAAATATAATCTCTTAAGAATTTTTCATTTGCATCCAAATTAGGATCTGTCCAGAATTCACGCAATGGTTTGAGCACTTCCTCGTCTTTGGGATTTATCTTCACCTCTTGACCTTTCAACCATTCCTTATATGACTCTTCTTCCTAAAGAAGTAAAACAATGACTATTTTATATAATGATATATAGCGTTAAAAGTAATAAATTATCTTCTCTAATCCACAGCACTTTCTTCATATTTTATCTTTTTTTTTGTAAGACGTACAAAAATAATCTTATTATTTAATTGTAAGATAGGATAAAAGATAATATATATATAAAATAATTAATAATTATTCACCTTATATTTTTCATCATCTGTCTTTTGTTTTATCTGTAGAAGATCAGTATCTTCATCTTCATTTTCATTTTTTAAAACATTTTTAAAACTATCTTTTAATTGTTCTTGTTCCTCTACATAAGTGGGCATTCTGGATTTAGCTTTTTGTCTTGCATCATCTTCATCTTCGCTGCTACTGAAATGCCCATCTCTTTCCATTATAATCTTACGTTCGTAGTCACGTAAAAAAAGAGCCTTTTCTTTCTTTGATTTCTTCTTTTCCTGTTCATTTGCTTCAGTGTCTCTTGATGTGTCAGGTTTGACGATATCAGTAAAGAACTTAAATTTTTCATCATATATACGTGGATCCTTACTTTTCAAACAAGCCAAAGTTATAAGAAATTCTTTATCAAACTGTGGATTGTGGATCTAAAAAAAAGAAAATTAATTATTTTTTGGAATCAATTAGCATTATTATATGTAATTAAATTTGTTATGAAATACACAAATCAAAGCTAAAAAATAAAATTCTTTATTTTACAAATTAAAAAATATTTAAGAAATATATACAATCATAAAAGCAACTAGCAATTTGTTAAAGATTTGTTAAAGAAGTCAACATACATTTTCATCATCGTCTGATGAACTGCTGTCACTGGATTCGTCATCTGAAGCTGCAGCATCCTCTCCATATCTTGCCTTTACTGCAAGATGAATCAAAATATAGAGAATATATATTTTTATAATATATTAATATATAAAATACATTATCTTTTATTTAATTGTACCTCTACATCTATAAATTATGTAAATTGAATGTTATTAAACTATTAATTGTTACACAGGTAGTTATTAATTAAATAGTGCTGCTAAAATATGCTCTTTTATATAGCAAACTAAATTATATTTTGTTTATAAAATATAATTTATAGTTTTTACTACTATTTTTGAGACTGCAGATTAGGGTTATAGCTCACGTTTATGTAATTCCTCCTTTTGACGAAAGTTATCGTAAATGCTGGCATATTCCGTATTTATCTTTAATTCTGCATCAGAATTCGAATTATCGTCATTAAATAAAGACATATTAATTGATAGAAACGAATGCTAATCACAACGCATTGAACTGCAAATGTTGCACGTTGCACTTGCGAGATAACCTAATTTTGACGAAACGTGTCGATGGTACGCATTCTACGTGTGGTATGATTTTATTGATACCTATTTATTAGAATATAAAGAGTATTATAATATTGTTGAGAAATATTAAATTTATATGAGTATGAGTAAAAATCTCTCATTTTAGATTTAATTAGTAACCGAGTATGACAAAATAAAACATCTTTATTATTTTACATATATTCCCATTAACTTTTCTGCATTTTCCAAATATATATGTAAAGATAAAACTTTTCAAAATATAGTTTGTTTTAACTGTTTAATTTTTCATAATTTAGATACTATTTTTCCGTCATATATACAATTATATTTATATAGACATAGACAATTGTGCTTATTCTATAATATATATATATATATATACATATTCAATATATTGTAATATACATGAAATACTATTGTAGTAATGTTTTTGTAAATGATTATAAATAGTAACATCTTAAAAAAGATATATACGTATATATATATAGTTAAAAAAAAAAATACTAAAAATAATTATATGTACATTGATTACAAGATGAACAATCTAAATACTCATACTCATATTTTAATGCTTATATATATATACACACACACAGACATACATATATATATATTTACATTTAAAATTACAGAATTGTGGACTATACAAGAATGGCTTGTATTTTGAGCAAAGCCCCCATTTTGTGCCGAACTACTTTTCACAAGAATATAATTTTTGGATCTGTAACTAAAATCACAAGAAGTTATCCGCATTACTCTAATAGGACAAATATCATCGCAGAACAGAAATTTAGATTTAAGGACAATATAAGCAATGATTACAAAATCATATATAGAGAGCAAGGAATTGTCAATATAATCACTACCATTGCACATAATGCTGGATGGATAGGTGTTATTCTTAGTGTGTTCCTTACAGGATATATAATTTACGTAAATCCACCAGTGGAAAAAGAACCGACAAAAACATTTAGCAATGGTGGTATAATAAAGCCTCTAAGTAAACTAGCTAGGGCAGGCATAGTGCTCTTTTCTTTTGCCGCGTCTGTCTCGCTTATAGTATGCAGTAGAATGATCCCGTTTAGAATTTATTATAATTCTGCAGAGAAATTGTACAAAGCTGTGTTCGTGCGTTCGATATTGGGTAAAAAACAAATAATAACATTCGGCGAAGGTACTGCTGTGCCGAAATTTAAGCGTGCACATACAGGAGATATATTATTTAATATTAATGGTCGTACTATTTTACTTGATAAAGAATGTTTCCCAGTACCATATGTACGTGAACGAATGATCTGCAAAACTAATTAGAACTATATGTATTATATTTAATTATTTATATTGGTTTATTATATATCTTTGTTTCTTCTATCTATCGCACAGAAATGTTCCTATTGTGATATCCGTTTATTCTACACATTAGGCATTGTTAACATAATAAAGCTAACTAATATTAATATGTAAATAGTATTCATATAGTAATTACACATATTCTTCACAAAATATATATAAAATTAAAATCAATTTTTTTTTTCTATCAATTTTTTAAACAAAATTCGTTCTGCGTATTGTAAATATTGTATTTGTTCTAATTCCTCCACCTTCTCTCTTATAAGTAACGTAATAAATAAAATTTCTTCTACAGTATATAGTTTTGATATAATACCATTGATTATCGCTTTTCTTTATGGTTTTCGAATGTAGGTTAGAGTGATTAATGACGTCATTGCATCGTTTCTGCCAATAAGAGACTTGAACTCATAGTAAAATATAGCTGCGGTCGGGAAGACACTAGAAATGCTTCGAAGCGTTTGATTGACCAATCACGACAAAAAGAATAAAGATTTATATATTCTGATTGGTTAATGCAATGCTTCGAAGCATTTCTAGCGTCT